GAAAGAAAATAAAGGCTACTGTACTTAGCAGCAAAGAGCAAATGTTAAATATGGTTTGATTGTAATATGTAAACTAGGATGTGATGAAATATCAAGGGGATCTTAAGCAGGTAGAGAGCCAACAAATCAATCTCGTGTAACTATTGGTTCACAACAAACACATAACACACTCAGTTGTGAAATAATGTTTTTATTGTCTATACAGGACATACAAAATGAGAGGAGAGAGAAAAAAAAAAAAAAAAAAAAAAAAAAAAAAGAGTAATTTCATATTTTTGAAATAATAATGCCAAAGATTGGGAAAAGTTTCCTACTAAACTTGGTTGGGTGATACATGCCACGACCACCAGGAAGAAGAGTAGGAGGAAGAAGAAAGTTGGTGGGAGGAACCAAGATAAAGTTGGAGAAGAGGAAATTGTCTGCAGACATTGTGCAGTGGCAGCAGAAATTGGTCATCTTTCTTTTCCTCAATGATTTGTTATGATCAAAATAAGTGAGGAAAGAAGAAAGTTGTCCAGCAAAGAGAGGAAGAAAAAGAAAAAAGAATCCAGAAATTATTGCTATTCCTGAAGGGACTTTAATTTGGACCAAGGCACAGCTTGTGAGAAGAAAGAGATGGACTGCTGCTGCCGTCATCATTTCTAGACTGGTTAGTCAGATAAAGCTGTTTGGCTAATAAAGTAAGTGAAAACTACCAAAACATGAGCAATATTTGACAAATTAGTGCTTCAAATTTCAGAACTGAAAACCTGAAAGTGAAGTTTCAAATGTAAGAATGTGAACATTATAACATCAAGCTAAGTAAAGCTCTTCAGTGTCCACACAAACTGCCTCAGATCTGATGAACCAACCAAGTAACAAAGGCACTTGAATTGTGCAACTTTATAGAACACAGCAAAATGAGGAAAAGGTATTCTTTTTCAGTAGGAATCCTAAACCATTTAGTATCATAATTTATACAGAATCATCTTAGGCAATAAGCTTATCTGCAAGATTTACGTTGGACAAAATGACAATTTCAATTTAACAGAATTATAAATGCATATTAAGCACGTAAGTAAAAAAAAAAAAAAAAAAAAAAATTTTAGATGATTTAATCAAGGAAGAAAAAGAAAGCTGTTTCAGGGAACAACATTTGTAGCATAAACAGCTTGTATGTATTTATCTATAAGTAAATGTAAATATTTAAAAGTTTAACGAGAATGCAAATGCATTTTCCATGCTTTAGATATTAATTTTGAGGGAGAATTTGTCACTTAAAAAATATGGGTTACATTTTTTTATTATTTTTATTAAGGATTTAAAAAGGAAATACCGTTAAGATTAAATCTTTCATGAAAAAGAAAAAAAGAAAGAAAAAAAGTCAGGTCACTAAAATGTTAGAAGCCAAGAAAGTAGATATTTAAAAACAATGATTATTTGCAGCTCCAAAAAAAAAAAAAAAAAAAATGCTCGTCTTGAACAAAATCAACTATTCAAAAAATGAAAAAAAAAAAAAAACCATTAAACTTTTTTAAAATTAGTCACTAGTTACATTCTAATTTTTTTTTTAAAAGACAAATTGTGTGTGTGTGTGTGTGTGTGTGTGTATAACTCCCTAAAAAGAAAAGCTAAGATTCTATTTAGATAAACAGTTTTGACCTACCTAAAAGTTAGAGAAGGGAGAAGAAGAAGAGAGAAAAAAAAAAAAAAAAAAAGTAGGGGGAGGGGAGGGGAAGTGGGGCTAAGCATGAATGAAATGTTACCCAAGATTGAATGCATTCCATTCTGTTCAAGGCAAAGTAAGAGAAATTGAAGTACAATGTAAACAAAGGTCATTGTGTGGCAAGATGGTGTGAATTAGAGAATGTGACAAGCAATTGAACTGAATAGATTTTATTTTTTTTTTTTTTTTTATTAAGAGCAGTCAGAAAGAGGAGCAGCACATCCAAAAAGGATCAAGTAGAGGTCAGCTATGCAAACACAAAGTGCAGTTGCCAAGATGGGAAAATGGACAAGAACTGCAAATCTTTGGAAGTTCACAAGATAATAAACGATCAGAAAAGTAACAGGGTTATGTATTTTAGGAAGAGTCTCCAATCCAAACCCTCAACTTACCATTTCAAAGTATTGGGAAGGGTGCAGAAAAGTCACAAAAAAAAAAAAAAAAAGTTCAAAGGACAGCAACTTCAATGGGATTTATTCATGAAAGAGTGAGGATAGAGAGGCTAGAAAAATAATGTGAATTCATCCCCACCCCAAAGGAAAAAAAAAAAAAAATAAATAAAAAAAAAAGAAAGAAAGAATCTTGTCCTTACAGGAGAAGATGAAGAAAGAAGCAGGGGAAGGAGGGAGGAGTCGCAATGCAGCAGGTATAATATCAGTTGGTAAAAAGAAATTCTTTCATTTTAAAATTATTTCTTTTAAGGTTGGAATTAAAACAAGCATTCTTTTAAAGGAGAAATTCAGGTTTTAATCAATTTTTTTTTTTTTAGTTCTGATGACTTAGGCTCATGGAGATGGTATGACTCTTATATATAAACCTACACATTTGCATAGAGCCTTAGTCAGGTTAAATTCTTTAGAGTGTGCGTGAAATTAGCATTTCATTGGTGACTGAAAGACAAGTGTGTCCAGATTTAGAGAATAAAGCATCTGTTACTGTTGGTAGCAAAATAGGCAATCCCCAAACATTCCAAAGGAACCATTCAGTAAATTAATTGGAGACATAAAAAGAAAAAAATTTGGAAGCTTGGAAAGATTTTTGAATAAAAACAAATTAGGTCACCAATTAACATTATTGGTAAATACCAATTAAAATGATTATCTGAGAGAGAGAGAGAGAGATATTACAAACTGCATATTTGTCAACCCTGAATTAGCCTTGTAAACAAAAAAAAAAAAAAAAAAAAAAAGTTTGTAAATAATGTACAATCATTGTTCAATATGTAAACAAAAAAGAAAAAAAAGACATTGAGAGAAAACAACTAATTAAGGATATGTGGAATGAATTAGAGGAAAACTTAAGTTTTTATTTATTTATTTATTTTGTCAAGAGCCAATAGCTACTAAGTTGTATCTACTTATGACTCGGATCCTCTCAGGTTTGTCCCCACAAAATTTTATAAAAATATATATTTTAGTAAGGTTCATTGCTAAGTAAATTTTGATCATAATACTTCATTTTCTCTTTTTTGGTGGTGGTGGTAGGGGATGTGCAAGTAGTAGTTGTTATGTGTGTGTGTGTATATATATATATATATATATATATATATATATATATATATATATATATATATATATATATATATGTATGTATGTATGTATGTATGTATGTAAAGTTAAATAATTTGCTGTGACAATACAAGAATGGAAACAACCTGCAAGAAGCAAAAGGGAAGATTGAAAGTAGCTGCAGCAGCCAGCATCCCCCAGTGGATGTAGCTGGGCAGTGTGAGACATCTCCTCCTGTAGGGAGATGATTCTTAAAATTTAAAAAAAAAAAAAAAAAAAAAAAAAAGAAAAAAGTCATTAACATTTGTTCATTAAGTGAAGAAAAAAATGTACAAAAAAAGATAAATAAATTGAGAGAGAAAAGTTTGGGGTTTCAACAGCTGAGGCATTTGCATTTCTGAAAATGGAAACTGAAGATCTTAACTGCAAGCAGTATTTACTTTGTAAATTATAGGATGGGGATAAGAAGTAAGGCAGTTTGGAAAGAGCAAAAAGAAGGGCAAAATTAAGAGCAATAGAAAAAAGTTTGTTTGGAAAAAACAAATCAATAATAATAATAATAATAACATGAGGGAGAGAGAGAAAGAGAGAAGCTTGTGTAGTCAACCAAATCAACTGGCTGTATCCACTTGTCTGTCCATTGTGTTTGCTGAATAAGAGACAGGATCATCTTGTTGCTAAGCATTGTGGGTAGTTGCTCATGGTAGTTAGGTAATCCAGATATGAGCCAGGCAGCATCACCTAGACTAGATAAATACAACTGAGTGCAAGGTAGAGTACAGATGTAGGCACACAGCAACAGCAACCAGCTTTTTGTCTTGCCATGTCTTAGGTTGGGGCAGGGGACAGCAGCAGCTGGCTGTCCAGTGGCACAACTCTCCAGCCACAAGCTATCTGCAATTGCAATGGTCAGTGAACCACTGCTAAAGTGAAGTAAGAAAGCAAGTAGCAATGCTACTTGTCCACTGGTAGGTACATACATAGGTAGGTTGAATGAGTGAGCTACAGGACAACACATGGCCATTACCTTGATCATCCTGAATTTTTTTTTTTTTTTTTTTATTTTTTTTATTATACACCACAGCACTGGGAAATCATATTTTTCTTGTTGCCAATGTTTACAGTTTGCTTTTTAAATTGGTTTTCCACAAATGATAAGTGGAGAAAGTGGAGAGAGCTTTCATAGCAACTTTTTTTTTTTTTTTTTTTAATCTTTCATTTTCTTCAAGGAATTTCTCAGAGAGAGAAAGAGAGAGGGAGAGGTCATATTTTCAAATTTTTTTTCTATTTTAAAGATTTTCTTTTTGTAATTTTTTTTTTCCATTTTTCTGTTAATTTCTGGGATTGTGGAGAGGGAGGGGTTAATTGTCCATTTTGATAGAAAATGCTACTTAAAATTTCTACGAGAATACAAAAACAAATTTTTCAATGTAAATTATATAGACACTATTGTTGAGACCGACCAGCTCTATACAATTGATAACCTAAATCAAAAGTTCACAAGTGCCTGGCTGGGCTGTACTTTTTTTTTCTCATTTTGTTTTTAAATCCTTTCTTTTTGTGCTGCCATCGCACATATACGACTGGTTGCATTGCACACTTTAACACATACACTTTTGCATCACACATGTAAACTGACACACACATGTAAACTCTCTCTCTCACACACACACACACACACACACACACACAATAGTAGACAGCAAGATGATGTTGTCGTTGTCCCTGGCCAAGAAGACTAAACAAGCTACTCATACAAGAACTATAGCCTGGCCAACGGAAGGGCTTTAAGGAGGAGGAGATAGACAAAGAAGGAAGAGGAGTGAAGGCAGCTCAATCAAGGGAGGTAATCCATGAAGTAAGCACTTAATATCTTCCTGCTAAAGTGGAGGAGGCTCAGCAAACATTTCTTAGTTCCCTTAATGAAACTGATGGTAATGGAGATGGCAATGATGATGATGACGATGATGATGACAACAATGGTAATGCAGAAGGAGGACTTTCAAACAGTGCCGCCTATGCCACAGCAGTCCTGGAAGTCAGTTTGATCAGTAGCAGATGTCCTCTGGGCGACAGCCAATGCAGCTTAATAGAAATTAATAATTATAATAATATGAACCGAATGTTTCTTTTCCTTTCTTTATTCCTCTTTTCTTAAGAGCAGTCCTAGTCACAGAATAGATCCAAATCAACAAATTCTGCAGGTGACTTTTGCTGCCAGCTTTTAAAAGGCTCTGGTCATTTCTTGTGTATTTACCTTTTCAACGCAACCATTTTGTGAAGTGAGGCAATTGCAGTATGCCAGTTATTTGCTTACCTTCACCATGGGCAGTGACTCCATGGTTGGTGTTGATTGCTGTTATTTTTATGTTATAGAATAGACCAAGAATGATGAGGATGAGAAAATAGGGAGGGAGAAATTAAGCAAGTTTGGGTGTTGGAAGTCGTGGGTGACCCCCATGTGAGTCTTCACTCATCACTCATCATTATAAGCCATTGCTGCTGTCCCAACACGGCTATTGAACGGCTCGGCCCACAAAGGAAAGAGGCAGCAACAGCGGCAGCAGCAGAGAAATAATTCAAGTAGAGACATTAACTTAAGGCTTATGATCAATTCAATCCAAGATAACTATTGCATCGGGGCCTCCACTTGGGGGTTGTGGTCCTCCTGGTTTGGCTGGCAGTACACGCCAGGGATTCCGGGCAGCACGTTTGAAGTCCTGTGGCAAGAGCTGTCTTCGTAGTTTTCTGAAAGAGAAACAATATTATACAAAGTATAGAAACAACAAATCTGATCAAATCATAGTAATTATTAATTTGTAAGTGATCATGTCTCCACAAAGAAAAATCTGCTTTATTTCCAAAGTATGTAAAACAGTTCTAGGTAGTAATATGCCTTTTTAAAATCTTATTGTCTTTCTCAACTGTAGTATATTTGCTAACACTGGAAGAATACATTTAACTAGTATTTATTTTAAAGGCGCTTGAAAATGACCTAATGAAATATTTTCTTTAATTAGGTTTTAATACATTTATAATTTTTTTTTTTTTTTAAATAAATTTCATTATACCTTTTAGTAGTTAAGGAAATAGTCTATGAAATAAGTTGCCATTTTATTGCACAAATCCGTCATTTATGGCTATTGTAAGAAAAATTCAACGTCAATGGGCTTTGCAGAGTTGCTTTAATAAATAAGCACTAAATAAAGAAATGTGGCAATTTTTACATAAAATTGTTTCAAAAGAGCAGATATGGCACTGAATAAAATGAATAACTTGATATCTTAATCTACTTTCTACAATTGTTTATTTAAAAAAAAGAAAAAGAAAAAAAAAAAGAAAAAGAAAAAGAAAAAAAGAAAAAGAAAAAAGTTGACTTGGAATTTATTAGACAGAAAAGAAAAGGCAAGTTAATGGGGAGATGACTTACTTAGTTGCATCCGTGGCCAAAAAGTAAACATCATCTGGTGCATCAATCCAGCTGATCATGTGCATTTTCATAGGCCTTATTCCAGAGGTTTTGCTTCGGCCGTTCATACTGTGCTTGTTTATGACTGACCCTCGCTGTAATCAAAACAAAACCAACTTAAGAAAATAAAATAAAAGCTGTCAATATAAAGAGAGAAAAGAAAGGATTTATACCATGACTGTGCAACAAGAAAGCAAAGAAAGCTATCAATCAATAAATTAGAGCAAAAATTATCTTGAATATGACTCCCTCACTGCCACCATGCACACACATACACACAGTAAAAATTTTGCTGTTAGTTATTATGAGAAAAAAAAAAAAAAAAAAATGTAACTTTTCTTAAACACCTGATCTTAACTTTAGAAAGTAAAACACTCAAGACAAATTAGGACGAGAGAGAAAAAATGCAACAAAAGAGTTTGAGATTCTAAATTCCTGTTTTATTGTAAGATGAAATTTCAGTTCTTATAAAATACTCACACTACTTATATTTTTCACTTTCAAAAGTGTATAATGTGAATAATTTGGGGAGTGGGATGGGGAAACTATTATTGAAAATGTATTTCCTCAATTGTAATAAATAGAACAAAATTGTCTTATGCCAATCAAAATATCCAGGTTTCAATGATCTGCCAGAGAAAACAGAATTACTATACAGAAAAGAGGAGAGAGAGAAAAAAAAATCTCATTCAAGTGTTTACAGTCATTCTGTCTGATAAAAGTCTTTAGAAGAAGGGGGGGAAAAAAAAGAAAAAAGAAAAAGAAAAAAAAAAAGGCACTTTTCATTGGTTTAAAAATTGCAGCTTTACTAGAAATTATGAAAATAATATACTAAAGTCAGTTTATTCTTAATTCTCTCACTAAAATCATTTGGATATTACACCTACTGATATTGAGAAACCAAGGTTTATAAAGACAAATTTAATTGTTTTGTTTACTGCTTTCACATTTATACAAAACACACACACACACACACACACACACACACACACACACAACAGTTTTGCTAGAAACATTGATTAAAAAAAATTGTGTCAAAAATTGATAGTAAAATAACAAATATTTTAATATCAAAATGGACATAAAGACTACAGAGCATGCATAACTATAAAGGAGAGCTGGAAAGTTCTTTGCTTAACCAAGGTCTGATGTTTGGTAAAATTTTGAGCAGGTTTAGCCAAGAACTTTTCAGTACCCCGCTGTATATTTGCCCTGATCATATAAATTGTACTAACAATAAGGAGGTTCTCAAAAACACATTATCAAATTAATATTTCTTTTCAAAATATTTGAGAGAGAGAGAGGAGAGAGGGAGGGAAGGATATCATTTTTATAGTTTATTTTATATCACAATATTAGATCTTAATGCCAAGCACAAAAAAGTAATTCTAATGAATTACTAAGAGAGAGAGAGAGAAAGAAAATGATCACCCATTTTAGTGAGGAGATGTACTCATATAAGAGGATTTTAAAATTTCTTGCACTGATGGTCATTAATGAAAATATTTAATATAAAAATACATAATAATTTTATCCACATTAAATACATATCACTTCAAATTATGTGAGGTGGAAACACTAAAATTTGAATAAGTAGAGAAACTTTCAGGAAATATTGATAACAAAGAAGTAATAAACTTTGCTTTCACATTGAGCTGATGATATAACATTTGCTTTATGGGTCAGATACACAAGTTATGCAAATCTTATCTCTTCTAAATTAAAGCTTATAGTTTTATTTAGATGAAGGGAAAAGGCAAAGTCATTTTAATCCTGAGAAACAAATTAGATTAATTTGATTACTACAAAAAATTAAGTTAGCAATTAGAAGAAAATCTATCTCCCCTATAGCCATAATGGTGAAGCATTTGATTTCAAATTAGCATGAAATATTTAAAATAACTAAGAGCAAGATTGACACTGATAAATCAGAGAAAGACAAATATGAAGCTTAAATTGTTTATTTTACAAAAGGAACAAATATTAACAGTTGGGTTATAACTACCTGTAAATAAAAATGTAATTGAGAGCAGTAACAGCCATAATTCTAGCATAAAAGTTGATACATCATTGAAAATGGTTTGAAATAGATAGGTTAAATAATAATAATAAAAAAAAAAAAACACGAGAAAGGTATTTTTCAAGAAAAAACCTGTAACAAAATTGAATTTTTCATTCAAAATAAATTAGTGCAGATTTATAACTGTTTCTGCTCAGTAGATAAAAATCAAAATTGTTGTATTTGTCAAGTGTTTTAAGTTTTATTGCAACTCAGTAATTTGGACTAATTTTATCTGTTGCTTTTATCACATTCAGACCAGTGTATCCAACAGTATTCAGATGATATAGAGAACAATGAATACACTAGATGAAATGCTAGCAAATAAACAAAAGATGGAGATATTAGTCTGAGCAAATGATTGAGTTGCAGTGTAATCCTTTTCAAAGACAGACTGCATAAGAGAAGCTGAGAGTGAACAAGCAGATAGAAAAAAATGTGAAAAGGATTGCTGCTAACATGGAAAAAGGCAAAAAAGATGAAATTACATATATGACAGCCAACAACAGAAGGCACAAGAATACAGAATACCACAATGAGCCAGGATTGGAGTTGAGAAAATAGCTTTTGATCTCAGCAGAAATAAAGAGAAAATAGAGGAGGTACCAGTGAAAGTATGGAATTTCAAAAAAAAGAAAACTTAAATGTGAAGACAAACTAAGAAATAAAAAGAATTTAAAAAAAATAAATGAAAACAAAAGTAAAATTGTGACCCTTTTGCCGTGGAAATGCCCAGAAAGAGGAGAACATATTCTATTTCTATTAACAAAGTTGCATTCAGCTTACAAATTTTTGTTTCTAGCCATTTCTCTAAGCAAACCAAAAATGTTAATTGAGGCAGATATTCTAAGTTACTTTTTTATGTGAATTAATTTGACACTCCTGATAAAATTATATATATATATATATATATATATATACACACACATATATAAGTAGAGAAAGGGATTTGGGTACACTGAGGACAAATTTATCACTCCTGCCCATTAGTTGTTATCCACCTCCATCATAAACACTAAAAGGGGAGGAAAAAAATAAAAAAAATGACGAGGTGTGGTGTGTCCTCAGTATTCCCTTGTACTCTTATGAGCCCTTCCCCAGCAAGCAGGTCCAGCTACCATAGGCAGTGAAGATGGCATTTTTGCTAAAGGGTTTGCCTATTTTACTGGTACTCAGAACTGACAGTTACTTGGGTTAATAGATCATTTTATAAATAGATAGAAGCATGCACCAAGATGATGAAGAAATGTAAAAGTTGCCAGGCTTTTTTAAGCTTTGGTCAATGGCAGTGACATGGCTAGGAAAAAAAATTTTTTTTTTTTTAATTTTTTTTTTTAAAGAACTAATGTTGATGTCTCCTCACTGAGAGTTACACAAATCACATTGTTACCTCCTAAGACCAAGAGTTGGGAGGGAATGTCCTTGCCTGACACTTCGTCATAAAAAATAGGTTGGTAGAGAGGGAAATATATGTATTTATAAATAAAAAACATAGCTATTCATATATGTATATACAAAACACGCACACACATTGTTTACTTTCAGCTGATAAGCAGACTAAAAAGTAGGAGAATTACCTGAGTTTGCAGTGGTTAGCCTTAACCCTCTATTTTCTACTTTTTATTTTAAATTAATATGTGTATGTATTTGCAATGAATAATGACCAAATATTTCTGTTCACTCATATCTCAATTGGCTGGTAACACAGAGACCAATAGCAAAGAAAGAGAATTGAATCTGTCCACTCAACTCTGAACACAACAATTCTATGATGGAATCTAAATCTCCTGCTAAAGACACTTTAATATAAAAGATCCTTCCAGCCAAATGAACAGTAATCCAAAGCTAATGCCAAATTAAGGACACAAGGGCAGCAACTACTGATTAACAATCAGGAAATTAACTTTTGTTTAAAAAAAAATAAAAAAATAAAAAATAAGAATTGTTCCCAATAAAAGCTTGAAGATGTGTTCACTTGTCAGTAAATGGAGAAGGCAGAAAAAAAAACAAAAAAAAAAAAAAAAAAAAAAAAACAAACATCCTTTTCATTTTTTAGAAAAGGATGTTTTCATTTATTTACTACATAGTCAAATGAACAACATCCAGCAGCAAGTATAAAATAAAACATTAATGGATTGAAAATGATTTATATATATATAGCAGTGGACAAATAGATAAAGAATTTATGCCATGAGCATAAACCTAGCTGGCAGCAGTTCACAGCTGTGGGTGGGGAGGAGCACTTAGTTCCAAAACCAAGTGACAAGGCCAGGATAATGTATGTGTGTATAATGTATATTCATAGATAAGAGAGAAAGATAGTGTGTGGGTGTGTTTGTGTATGTGTGCCTAGACACACACACACACACATCTAAAAGAAAATGGAGGGACAATGACTGGCCACTGCAACACAGGTATTAAGAAAGTAGGAGCAGTGGAATAAATGAGGCAGCATTGTATATAGTCAAAGGATGTAGATGTAGTAGTAGTAGTAGTAATAATAATAATAGTAGTAGTAGTAGTAGTAGTATGTCAGCAAACCTGGGAATTAGCCAATCCTTTAATGACCTGGTGCTTACCATTGTAGCTGGTGTTCTAAGAACACTTCCTGCTTGCCGAATTACTCCGAGGCCCTGTCGTTTAGCAGGAGGACCTAAAAGAGAAATTCTAATTGCTAATATGTACTGAATACGATTGCTTTTTAATATCTAGATCCAAATCTTAAGTATGAAATCAGAATTCCACAATAGTCTTAAGTGCTGCTCAAAAGTTTTTGTTTGGGCTGGACTTGAAAATTTTCATTTCAGAAAGAAATCTATGTCTTAGTTAATAATAATTAAAAGAAAAAAAAAAAAAAAAAAAAAAAAAAAAAAAATAAATAAATAAATAAAAAAAAAACAAACAATAATGAAATTTAGAGCCAATCACCTGGTAAAATGTTTTGAAAATATGACACGGTCCCAGCTCAAATTGTCAACAATTATTAATTTTAAAAGTCAATGTATACTGTCAACTGCCTGACAAGAAATGAAACAAGTGACAAGAAATAGAAACATATGTAGATAGGTATGTATTGAGGTAACTTGTTAACAATGACAGAAAAAGGAGGAAGGCATTAATTTGATAAAATAAATCAGGTTTATAATCTAAAATGCCTTAAAATTCAGTTAGAATTTTATAGAATCAATTTACTTCTTTTCAACCCATCTCTGTGGCATGGTTAAGAAAAGAATTCTTCAAATGCTTTTTGTTATATCAGTGCCAGTGAGTTTTTCTCAATCTGGTGGCCAATGCTCTCTTTCTGAGCAGCAATCTGTTTTGATAAGGTTGTCGTTTTCTCGCAGCTTCATTAGTCCATTTGCCATTATTGCACATTTTGACATTTATGATTTAGATGGGACAATGGCACATTTTCTATGTTTTCTATCAGCTGCCCTCACTTTAGTGCTCATATAGCATAATTTTGTTGTTTCCTGGCAACTCAACAAGTTTGTTTGATATTTGTCAGAAGGGGAGAGAGAAAAAAAATAAATCATCCAACACCTTTTGCCCTGCCTTCTTTCTCCCACACTTAACTATCTTCTTATTGACTGCACCAAGTCAAATAAAAACCTCCTCCTCTTCTTTCCACAGTGAACAACGCATGGACAAAAGTAAATGATATAGAAATGTGAATGGTTGACATGCAAGAATAATTGAGCTGAGTGGGGGGGAGAGAGGGGGAAGAGAGAGAGAGAGAGAGAGGGTGTTCTTTTCTCAAATGACATTGTAATAAATATTAGGGAATAACTTCAGCACATGGAAATTAATATTTGTCGTAATAAAGAAATTTCTTTCCTAGATCATCATTGAAGGAAAACAGGACTAACCAAAGAGCTTGAACTGGAGAAAAGGGATTTACTATTAATAACTGTTTACAAAGGATAAAATTTCCACAAAATTACGTTGTTAAAAAAAAAAAAAAAAGAAAAAAAGAAAGAAAAAAAAAAAAAAAAGAAAGAAAAAATGACTGAATTAAAGTGAGCTTTGCACAAATATCAAGGTTAATAGTGTGAAAATAGATGTAAAATGATTCCTACATACTGAACCCAGCTTTTTTTCTTAATATAAGAATTGGTTATAAGTGTTTCAGCTTAGTACAACATTGATCTAAAGAAAACACTTAGACATAAAAGACAAGCACACAGATTTATTCGCGTCTGAAGCACTTGTACACTTTAAAGCAGCACAAAAAGCTAAGTATATTGCCTGACCACAAAACATGTTTGATAGGAATTCCCAGGTAGAAAGTGAGAGTAGTTAAGGTAATAATATCAAGCCAATTGAATTGAAGGAAGGAAGGAAGAGGAGAAAAAAAGTTGCATGTTTATTGAGAAAAAAAAAAAAAAAAAAATCTACAAGCATAAAAAGTGAATTATGAGTGAGTCAGATAGAATACACTAATATTTAAATTTTTGTAGCAAGCAACAGATGTTAAATATAGCGTCCAAGTGTAGATCACTGACTTTCTATAACTTTAAGATGTGAACAATCTGAAGCCCTTGAATGTAATGAAAAATTCAAGCCTACTCTCAGCGATTTTAGAGTTTAGCAATGAATACTTAGGTTTATTAAAATAGTGATCAATATATTTCAATCATAGCCCCCACCCCCCACATATACTTGAGAGGTAATCAAGGTTAAATAGAAAATGTTATATAGTTTTGTTTTCAATATATTGTATAAAGAAAAAGACATTAGTTAAACCAAAAGTTGATCATCAAGTTTCTGAATGAATTAATTCTTTCCATTCAAATTTGTATATATCCTGTTTTGGCCACTGTACACTGGATTCCTTCAAGCATTCACCAAACTGTAATTTTCACAAAACACTTATTCAATCAAGTAGATTGTTCTCATTACATTTTCTGGTGAATATTTTCAGCTTTGTATTGCTTGTGTGACTTTTACCCATTACCTGACTTATGGACTGATCATTTGACTACTGGGAAACATGTTTTAACCTATGCTTTAATCCACAAGGACATGTTTCTTTGACAATCCAGTAGTATAATTTTAGAGAGTTAATATTATGTCTATATTTTTTTAGTAGCCTTTCTTTCTTAACCTGAGGCCTCCAGATGGTGTTCATCTTTATGCTAGGTCTACTGGGGAGGATATCACAGCCTAACATAACTTGAGATATTAAGTGATGGTTGGCTTCAATCCATACTGTGTGAGTTATTAATACATCCAGAATGCCAAGTTGATTTGCTTCCTTTTCCCATTGTGAACTGTATGAAGGTATTATCTATTCATCTAAGGCACATGGTTAACTTTAGTTGTGACATTCCTACAGCAATTTTCTCTCTTGCATTATATATATTGACAAGGTTATTTTTATATATGTTGGAACTCAATTACAATTATGTTGTTTGCAAACAGAATACTCGCATGCTCTCCCAGAGATGAGTTTGATCCTAAGGTTTCTCAAACCACTAATAGAAACATCTGAATGAACCTTGGTGAATATGTTAACCTCTAAGGTCACCATCTGATTGGTATGAATGGAAGCATCTGATAGTCTTCAACAAAGTGGGGACAGAACTTTAGATAGAATGTAGGCTTACATTTTAGTGGGTTGATTACAGCTACTAGGAATCTGTTCAGCTGATCCTTAATAATCGACCATCTGTCTCAGTGGAATTTTGATAAGGCTGTACATGAATAAACGCTTATGGATCAGCTGATTTTTCATTGTTTCTGTGTTCAAGATCAAATCTCTTTAAAACTGCTGTAGCCATCATCTGCAACTAGGCTAGACAATTTTTCAGAGTATTCTAACTTGTCCATCACCCCCTGATGTTTTGCCCCCTTGTCTGCTGATAGTATGAAGTTTTGTATTGTCCTGCTAAATTTTGGTAGCTACATATTTCTCTCTTGTGATGTTCAATTTGAGAGGCTTGGCCTTTTCCTAATTAATGCCTGTCTCACTTTCCATCTCAACTAGTTTGCTCGAGCTTTAGAAATCTTCAAAGCTGCCTCCTCAGTTAGAGATATAACATCTAAATATGAGACGATGGTTGTTGCAAATTTAAGATATTTGTTCAGTACCATTTATTCAAGGGTACTTACCCAACATTTGTTAATGTTGATAACTGCTTTCACAAGTGTATGGTGGTTTTTCTTGTGTTTCATGCCATTGTTTTTCAACTGCTGTAGTTTCCATATTTGGCATATCTTGACTCTTAAATTCCTGCTTTCACAACCTGTCCAGGTTATACTGAATTCTATTTCAGTCCACTTCTGATTTTAGTTGGTCTAATAATGGTTCCATCATGTTAAAGAGTTCACTTTGTAATTGCTGTTTTATTCAGCAGCTATAACAAGTCCTTTCTGTTAACAAGAGCATGCACAGTCCTATCTGTAACTATTCAGATCCTTCTGGAATTGAAGGATGTTTTCATAAAGCCAGGTAGAATTAGTTCTAACCCTATATCTTAAGGGTTAAAACTTAAGGCTTCAAAATTACAACAATGGACTATCCAAGAGATATGTGACCTAGTAAATTAAAGCATATTTGGTCTCTTGGTAGTTTTAAGTTCAGTTGCTAGGTAGGGTAGTTATACCTTGGGTTATTTATTGGTGGGACGAGGATACATACACACACACACAAACAGTAAAGTGAATTAACTGATACAAGATACCACGTAAACAGAATGAGAGCAATTTACCCATGTGGCTTGAATAAAAGGTCACTGAATACAGCAGACACCTAAAGAAGGCCAGAGGGCACAACAGCCAAAACATTTTGACTATTACAGCCAAGATGAATATACAGGTCTGAATGGAAAAAGCATATAATAATACATGATAAAAATTTTTTTATCTTAATAATAATAACAAAAAAAAAAGGTAAATTAATTTGCTAAGAGAATAAATAACTGAATAGAAACTTGCCGAGAAATTAAGAAACTAGTTTAATTATTAAATACTTATATCTATGTACATAAAAGATACAAAGACATCACGGGACTGATTATGGACAATGAAGTCATTCAAATGCTAAACATATTTTAAACAGACATGAACTGTAGATAGTTCCTTTGTAATATCCATCCTAACATGCAGAAATTAGTTCAACTGGAGAAAAATATTTGGAAATAGACAAATAGTGTTTATTTTATTTTAGCATGTTTAACAAACATCTGCTATCCAAGTACAGTAGATTAAATAAACACACACACAAAATATATATATATATATATATAAAAGACACACACACACACACATATATATATATAAAAGACACACACACACATATATATATATATAAATAAAAGACACACACACATATATATATATATATATATATATATATAAAGACACACATATATATATATATATATATATATATATATATATACAACTAATTTGATAAACATCAAATTTGCTGCCCCTTATAAGTAAATAGTTCAAGCCTAAAATCCCCATTAAATTTACCTCAAGAACTAAAATTAATGAGAGCTATAGTACAGGCATGCTCTAGTAGGCATACCTACATAATATAGTTCAAGATGAGGGTGATGCTGAAAAGTTCTGGGCTCATCCAAAGAAAAAAAAAAAAGAAAAAAAAAAAGAAAAAGTAGTCATTTAGTTAGATTTTTCAGCACCCCCCACACCGTGCAATCATGTTGAAGAACAGGGAAACAGTTTCACCAAATTAGGCAGGCAATAGCAGATAAATCAGTTAAATTGCTTATGGCAAATACAATCAAGCAAAAAAAAAGAAAAAAAAAAAAAAAAAAAGAAAAAAGTTAGGTAAAAATATAGAATTAGATGAAAAATTTTTTTTCTCTCTCTTACAACAAAAATCAACACTAGCTGAGCACATTCAACCAACACATTTGAGAATAATTAGTCTATTTTCATCTGCATTATGGATAATACATGTAGATTATCGATAAGTAACTAAAACTGTTTTTTTTAATTTAATTCACCATAGGTATGCAATTTATTTTGACAATAAAAATGCATACTTGAATCTTACATCTGTAATATAATAGCGTTGGTAAGCTCAAAGTATTACTAAATTTGTTTTACAGATCAAAGGAAGAAGGAATTTATTGCAATAATTTTCTGGTAAGCAAATAACATTTATTTTTGCAGTACATAAATTGATGTCAACTGAAGCCATAGCTACCTAAATAAAATAATTATGTTTGTAAAACAAGCATAATTAGAACCTGATAGTATAGAGTGATTTACAGATTTCAATGTTTTATGAAAATATTGAGTGTTAAATATATAAACATGCTTAAAAATGTAAAAAGCCTGAGGCTTAAAAAAAAAAAAAATCATTCAGAGATTACATATTAAACTAAACCAAAAAGTAGATTAAGCATTATTACTAAAGACCCAAACTAACAGCCGAGTTTCATTTTTCTTTCTTTTTTTTTTTTTTTTGTTGGGGTGAGGGTGGGCAGAGGAAAAGGATGGGTGGAAGAATTAACCCCCCCCCTCCCATTACAGTATATCCAAGGTTATAACTATCAATAAATGACAAATACACACCCTAAAATTTATTTTAAATCAAGCCACATAAAATTTTATTCCAATCTTTTTTCAAAGTTACAACCACAAATTTTGTATCTAAGATGTACATATAGGTCTTGAAATCTTAGTAAATTTGCTATAAAATTGTAGTGTAGCTGAAAGGTAACACTAAGAATTATGCTAATTGTAAGTTGTGCTCATACTGTCTTAGAATAGAATAAATTTTTATTTTTATTTTTAAAAAAAAAAATGAAGCAACAGTAAACTAGTCATTACCTTAACTGATAAATGACCTTTTTCTGATACTGCAATTTGTAATGAAGTAAATTTTAATTGGAAGCTGACATCGTCATTTATTAAATTACTAAAGTAAAAGAAAAGGATTTCTGCTGCTTTTTTGTGGATTTCATACAAAAGGATTTCAGCAAAGAGGCTGAAACAAATAATAAAAAGAGAAATAAGAAAAGCAAAAGAAGGAATAGCTGATTTTACTGAGTAGCCACATAGAAACAAGGTTGTAAAAGGCATCAACTCTGCTAGAAGAGTATAAAGACATGGAAATTTAATAAAAAAAATAAAAAATATTCCTTTGACAAAACAAAGGAAAATGCTTTGCACAAGAGAAGAGGGAAAGTGATGGAGCAGAAACAAAACAAGTTAGGGACACAAAAAAAAAAAAAAAATCACACACAAACACACACACAAATGGCTCAGATGATTTTATTTCACAATTTTTGTTGACATTTATGACAGTGGCTTGGGTTAATTTATAAATGGTTAACTTTATTTACTAAGAACAAAAAAAAAAAAAAAAAAAAAAAAAAAAAAAATGAACAAAAGAGCATAGAGTGAACAGGATGAATATCAAAGAGCAAAATTCATTGTTTGGATTTCAGTAAGAGAGCATTCCATAATGGCTCAGCATCCAGGAGAACTAAAGGAAACCAAAACAAAAAGGGGTTGAAATTTTATTGCATCCATCAGTCTTCAAGAAGAGCCAGGATGGAAAAAAAAGTGTGGGATAGTCCAAGTCAAGCAGACTTATTTTTTTCAGCTAATATTTCATGATGATGATGATGATTGTAAATAGAATACATGGTATGGGGAAGAGTTTAGGGAATATCAAATGCAGCATCAGAGGACAACAGCAGCTGAAGGACAGGAATACAAAAAGCAAAGAAAATGAAAAGCCAGAAAGATAGACAGAGAGACAACATAAAAAGTCATTTCAAATATCTTAATATACAAGTAAAACTAATCATCTTCAGAATTATTACATATCTATGAAAAAAAAAAAAATTCTCACTTTTGCTAATCATTCCAGCAGGCAAAGAATATTTGTTATATAAAAAATATCTTGTCCTAAATTGAGAAGCACAACTGATTACAGATCTCATTTTAACAAAGATGTCAAATTATACAAAAACTAGTAATGTGGCTAAATTGTTATAGATAATTAAGAAATTAAATTTTTTCAAAGAAAAAAATATTAAAATTTTATTTTATTTTTGAAACATTTTTTTTGTTTCTGAAAATCAAAGAAGACCAACACAAATTTGTAGGGCAGAAGGCAGCCAAACCGGCATTGGACAAAAAATTTTCTAGACACTAAGAGTTAAAGTAGCACATCTGCTAAATCTGAGATTTCTTTAACAGATCATCATAACCCTCACTCAAGCTGGCACTGTCATGTCAATGTCAACAAGTAAAAGGAAAATTGTAAAGAAAGATATAGCAGTAAATTAATTAAAAAGTAAAGATTTGGGCACAGGATGTGATTTTAAATTAGCAACCTATTAAACTCGCTATGCTTGACTTGAAAAAAAAAATTTTTTTTTTAAAGTTCTAAACACATGGTGGGTAAAAACCTCACAATAAATGACATTAAATGTAAATATATAAAAAGAAAGGCTTGTATTTTTTTTTCTCTTTTAAATGATATTGATAGAGAATTAAAACTAGTTAAAAATGAGAAATGTGTAAATCAAGAACCCAGCATTGAATACTTGCTTGTTACTAAAGAAACAAACAAGATTTGGAGGAAAAGAAATTCACTAAATTTTCTCCTAGTAAAAATTATCTATACAGTAGGACTCAATATTTATTTATTTGTTATCACAATTATTCAGGCTTATTTATTAATAGCTATTCACAAACTATTTGAATCAAAATGTTTGCATATGGTTGCCAAACATGTTGAAAAATATTATGAAATTAAGTATTCTCACTATAATTGCTGTGAAACAATCTATACAAGAGTACCTCCCCTTATCACAAGGACCAGTTTAATCCACATTATACATATTTTGTTTTAAAACCAACAATGAAGGCAAAGACAATAACAGCCCAAATAAATACTAAGATATTTTGCTTGGTCATATTACAAAGATAATTTTAAGCAGTGATTAATAAAATAAAAATAAAACTAAACTATGAGAAGGAGAAAGAAAAAAAATCATAGGAAAAGATAATTTAAATTTTAATCATTGTTACAAGTAGAATTGGTAAGAATTTACAATATCAAGCAAATTTCAAGTAGAAAATGCAAAACTTAACAAGCAAGGGAGTTTATATAGTTTATATGCACATACAAAGGGTGAGTAAATGCTGAAGCAATCACTAAAACAGCTATGTAATAGAAAACTTTTAGTGGGCAAAACAATTGTATCAAATTTTAGAAGTGGGAGAGAAAAAAAAGAGCATAAAAACAAGAAAAATATAATTTTAAAAGATATATATATATATATATATATATATATTTTATGGTCACCCATTGTAAACTATGCATAGACTATATATAACTGAACACTATGTCATTAAATAGGTTTGGTCAGCAAAAGCAAGATGAATGAAAAAGAAACCCATTAAAAACAAATCATGTATACACACATGTACCCACACAAGCACTCCAGGTATCATGCAGTTGAAAATAAAGATTTTTTTTTTTTTTTTGATTTCTCAATCTTGGGTATTTTTATGATAATAAAAATCAATTAATATTTTTGTATTTCACTTGTAATAATTAAAAAGCCTGAATACCATTCATAGGAGTCTGAGAATGAAATAAAGTGACATGAGGACATATTTAATAAACTGTCAATAAGTCCCAATTAGGGTAAATAATATTAATGATTCTAAATACTGACCATGGAATGACTTTAAAAAGAAAAAAGCAAAGCAGTGTAAAGTCCAAAATTTAAACATTTTCTATCAAATTTTAGATGTAAAAAACTTTTTCTTTCTTTTTTTTTTTTTTTTTTTTTTTTTAAAAACTTCAAGATCTTCAACTAAAGTCCAATATAAAACTAAATATAAGCCTTCAATGAAAGTCAAATATGTTCCCCTGTTAAGAAGTTTTATATTGTCTGCACAATAAAAACTACAGCAAGAATATGAAGTTGCACATATTAGATTATGGGTTATAAGCACAAGGCTAACTGTAAAAATGAGTGGCATTCTTTGAAATCAAAACTATTTCTTTAGATTTGCTAAATTTCAAAATGCTGCTTACATGACTTATTAGTTAAAAATAATGCAATGCAGAAAAAAAAAAAAAATTCATCCATCTGCATTTGTTCATGTAGACAGACAAGAAAAACTACCAGATAAGTGGCCTACTTAAAGTTTTTCATTCACATTTCAGCACAAATGAAAAGTTGATATCAAGTGACTTATGCTCTAATATCTATGAAAAAAAAAAAAAAAAAAAATTGAATAGAAAAATGATAGCTTTGTTAGTAGATAGAATCATTTGGAATATTTTCAGCAAGGCAAGACTAAGGCAACTGAGAGTTTTAGGAATTTTATAAAAAAGATCTATGAGCCATCATTAGAAAAGAAAAGCCAAATCCAAAAAGAGTAGCTTGTTCATAACGATACACAAACATGCTTTCTTTCTCACTCTCTCTCTCTCTCAATATAGACAAACAAAATTAGCTGACGCATGACATGTTGCTCAACAACACAACAGTAAATTTTAACAACTCAGAATCCAAACAATTTCAAAGGAATCGAGATATAAAAGAAATATTACTCACCATCTAGACCATTGCTTTGTTCATATCCCCTCTTCTTCATGATGGAAGGCTGGCTTGTTGAAACTCTAGGAACCACTTGTTCAGATTTAGGGTCTGAAAAATTAAACAGTAAATTGTAAAAAAATGACATTTAAAAATATGTAGAAGTTTATTAAAGCTAAATGACATGTCTGTAAAAAGATTTATTTATCATTCAGGAAAAGAATCAAATTTTAAAACTTTCTAAAAATGTGGAAAGAAAGGTAACAATTCAAATTCTGCTATTTGCTTAGTCTATTTATAAAAGTTTATAAAAGTCTTTTGGCTCTCAGGTGGAATTTCAAATCTAAAAAGGTAAGAATTTCGGTCTTGTGTACAAGGCATTAGAAAAATCATGAGAATCAAATAAAGAAAAAATATTATTAAATGACAACATTTTTTAATACTAATGTTCACCCAGTACAAAGCCCAAGGGCCACTCAAAGTAGAGGAGTACTGTGTGGAGTTGTATTAGCATAAGAAAGGGCAAGATAACAGTAAAGACAGCTAATTCTAGACTTTAAGAGGTCAAGATTTAATTAGCGAATAAAATCTCAGAGTTCAGGCAGAGATGTTAGGAGTATAGAGTTGAAGTAAACTTTATAAGTAACCAGAAACCCAATCCTAAACAGGAAACAAAGTATAAACTTCTACCCCTGTCCAAAAGAGGGTGTACCAGATTATAGGTTTGCCTATCTACTATTAAACATGTGAAAGGAATTAAAGCAACCTAGAATCACAAGAAGAATATAACCTAGGAGTGATTGATTTTTTTTTTTTTTACAGCTTAGCTTTTTGCAGGTTATTTAAAGCCTAAAAATATTTTTCGCCTGTAAGAATATTTTTAAAGATAATAATGATTTAGTGATACAAATTCTACTAGTTATCCCATAGTTTGTGGGGAGGGTGAAAGATGTGGCACACGTGAATATAAGAAACCCGACTGGAATTACTTTTCTCTCAGATTTCCAATTCCAAGCTAATATCCATTACACCAGATGCACATCTAAACATACAGTGTCAGGTATTCCCAAGCAGTCACCAATCTAGGTACTGACAAGACTCAATGTTGCTTAAGTTCAGTGATCTTATGAGAACTGGTGTTCCAATGCAATATGGTCATAAGCCACCTAGGAGTGTGAACCACTGATCAACACAGTGACAACATCAGCCCATGAACAAAACAGCTCAAATGTTTGAACTGGTGAAACCAAAATAAAAATCCTGAGTGGATTTATCTAAAAAAAGATATGAGGCAAAGGCGTGAAATAAAAATTGTTCTGTGACTCAACCAGATTTTTAATATATAAATACAGAAAGAGTAAAAAGGGTGTATCTAATCTAAAATGAATTTGTACAAATTCCTTGAAAACAAAATGGAGTTAGGGGATGGTTATTGACTGAAATATTGATGAGTTCCTGATTTTAGAAAAAAAAGTCACTAATGAATGATGTTTTAGTAGAGAAATTAATCATCTAGCAGTAAGAATAATCAGTGTGGTAAAACTGGATAAGAAGTTAAGAATAAAAACAGATTCTCAGGTATAAATATTCTCATTTATTTAACCATGAGTGAAAATGCTAAAACATTTATGCAAAGATTTTTATAATTATAAATATTGCAAACTTAAAAATGAAATACAAGCACTGAATATTTCCATAAAAAATTGGAATAATTAAAATATTTTTAAGTGATAGGCAAGAAAAGGCATTGAAGCAATTTATATATAAAAAGAAAAAAAAATAAATTTGGTCACAAATTCAATCAGGTCATTTTCAAATGTAATGAACTCATTTCCATATAAAATTTACTCAAGGAAATAATTTTATAGAATGATACAATCTCAAAACAACTGCATTTAGATCAAACTTAATACTGAAGATGGCGCTTAAAATTTGTAATTTTACTTTTCAGCTAAAAACAAGAGAGAAATTGCCAAGTAATGTGCACAAATTTTATGCTTTTGGTCAGTGGTGGAGGTACTTTTTAAAGTGTAGAAGACAACATTAAAACTGTCAGTGAAATCAATAACAACAACAAAATAAAAACAAGTGAGACTTGTTCTTCCAATGAGCAATCTGGAAACCAATTAATTTTGAAAAATTAAAAGATAAAATGATTAAACCTTACTTTAAAAAAGTCAGGTTTAATCATTTTATCTACAGACCACAAAAATCCAGTCTAGTTGGTTTAATTAAAATGCACAAATAGTTCAGCCTCAATTCAATGCAGATTTAGCATAGCAAAGATTGTTTTAAGGTTCACTTTAACATAATAAAAAAAAAAAAAAAAAAAAAATATCAACTCTGATTTTAATTCAGCTTATAGAAGTAACTTAAATCCAACTTTAAAGATTTCTTTTCCTAAACGAAATCAATGATGAATAGACAAGAGTTATCATGTGAATGTTTCCAAATAAATGTGAGAAGGGAACAGAATAATAGACAAATTGTGCACACAAAGAAACAGCACAATAAACGAATGTGTGCAACTTAGTGAAAAGAAAAACTAAGACTTGCAGAGTTCCAATGGTGACACTATAGTGGGTTGTCACAATAGACACAAAAAATTTCTCACCTGGTAAGCGTGTCATAGGGGAAGACACTGGTGGGAAAGATAACCTCTGTGGCTGCTTTCTTTGATCACCTTCAGGTCTGTTGAACATAGAAGGTTTTTCCATTTTTATATCTATTCCAAGACGAGAGACAATGGGCTCTAAGGTTGCAGGGGGTTTTGCTTTCATGTTCATAGAGAGTCGGTTGCTGCCACCTTCTGTTAACCGCAACTGACCTATAAACAAATAATTATTCATCAGTACAGGCTAAGCTGAAAATCAGGTGGAAGATATTAAATCATAATATTCAGTCATCCAGGATTCATGCAATGTAATATGCAGGGAGAAAATCTGCAATCAATGGCTGCTTAGTCAAACTAGTTGCTTAGTAATCAGTATTGTTGTTAATGTAATTGTACCAATTATTATTATTGGAACATTTTTTTTTTGCAAGTGAAATTGGGGAAGATGACAAGTAAAAATTATTATCAAAAAAATTAGACAAAAAAAAAGAAAAAAAAAAAAAAAAAAAAAAAAGAAGAAAAAAAAAAAAAAAAAAAAAACTATTAAATTGACAACTGCTGATTTAACAAATTAAATGAAAACAAAACAGCTAGAAGGGAAACAGCATTAGTAAAATGAACCCAACTTTCAAGTAATGAAAGAAAAAGAAAAAAAAAAAAAAAAGAGTGAAGGTAGGGGAAGGGAGGTTGGAACTGGAAAGATGAAAGAATTACAAGGTCAGAAGAAAAATTGACAGCCTCTGCAAGTAGAACCATACTGTAAAGACAAGATAAGAGAGATGCAAATAGGTGATAACACCAGCCTAAGGGGACCACCAAAGAGGTAATGAGAGAGAGAGAAAAACAATAGCAATTTGTATCTGAAGTAAAAAGGAGAGTGATGTGACCTGATGAAATCCCACATTGGTTGAGTCTCATTATAAAATAATAAACATAGTAAAAAGAAAAGTGCTTTTTGTTCCACTACAGCTAATACAGAGCTTAAAGGGGGAAAAAAAAAAACAAAAAAAAACGTTTTTCTATATAACAAGTGTTTCAGTTAATTGGTGATAGCATGGGTTGGGATAGACTATTTTGAATTTTAGTAATGGAAAGAAGCACAATATTAAAGACTTGTTCTAAGCAACACCTGAAATACTTTCTGCAAGTTCAACAAAATAACCAACAATAGATATATCTGCATCGCAATAAATAAGTCAAATTATGTCCCAGCATAATTCAATGGTCATTTAAAAGAAAATTCTTAATGGCCACCTGAAAAGAAAGCTGAGATGTATTTACTGAGGCGGTATAGTGTCATCAAACCAAGTAACTGCCTACACAGCTTTATCTATCCAAAGATTTTGTTAATTGTACATTTTTTAAAGTCAAAATATCAAAGTCATTTTGTTGTTGTTCATAAAAAATAAGATTGTGCACAATACTTCTCTCTCAAATTCTTGTTTTTAGTCATAAAATCATTCAATAATCATGCATAGTTGAGTGGTGAGATCAGAGATTTCTGATAGTTCCTGTTATGGTTTAGAATGAATTCATTAATAGCAGACAAACCAGTTATGGTTTCCCAATTGTTAGAAAGTTACTTATTCTTTAAATTTGTGACCATGCCCTCTCATAAAATTGATGTCAAACATTTATCTTTCATAAAAAACAAAGCAAGTGTCAAAATTCAGTTCCTTCAAAGACCAAAATGACAATCTCCTTTCATTTTTTTATTAAATATTTTACAGGTCACTTTTACATTCCTTTAAGAAAATATAGTAAAATATAATTAAACTAGTACATCTAGCATGTACTTAGAAATGCCTTCTATTCAACAAAAAATTTGCAGAGATTAAATGAATTGTCCACAAGCTGAGAAACAACAAAAACAGCTACACTTCCTATCATAATGCATAATAGTGCACTACTAAAAATATAAACATTCTTTATGATAAAATGACTAAGAATGAAATACAGTTTAATAACTGAAAGAGTTAACATTATATGAAATATTTTGATTGGAATCTAAAATTAGGACTTCAATATATAGTTACAGCAACATATGAAGAATGCAAGAAGTAGAAAAAAGAAAAATGTTTATTCAAACTATACTTTTCTTTCAGACATCAAACATACAGCAGTGTGATTTTTCTGATCATCTTGAAATAAGGAGTTTTATTTTAGGTTTCTACATTAGTTAAGCAACATTGAAATATTTAAAATAAGAAAAAAAAAAAGAAGGATGAGTGAAGAACCTGATTAAATGCTTATGAAAAAACTTATATCAAAGCTAACAAAGAATAAAAACTTTTTCACTAATTTTCTGAATTTGGGGATTCTTCAATAATTTAATAATTAACAACTGACATTTAATAAGAAATGGTTTATAACATTTAAAGATGTCTTTAATAAGTGAATATTGATTATTAAAGTTAAAATCCCACGAGATAAAAAGCAATGAATCAAGAATATATGTTCAAAAGATTTAAAAAAAAAAAAAAAAATTCAGAAAAATTATAAATGTGAAGAATGTATCAATGAAACATTTAATCAAACCAGTAAAGAATAATGAATTTAGATTGAAAATGACTTCTCGTCACAAGTTAGAAGATCTAATGTGAAATAGGAGACAAAAATTACCATTGTTATCAGCCCGTTTCTCAGTCGAAGCTGTTAATGCATCAATGAGATGTCCTTGTGAACCATCTTGGAATATTGGGAGTCCGGCAGCTATAGTAAAAAAATAAATTAAAAAAAAAAAAAAATAAATAAATTGGTGGTGATGAGAAAGACATGCTTAAATAAAAGAAAAGAGGAAACAAAAAGAAAACAGTAAAATCCTATCTGAGGATTGTAAATATTGCTTGGTTTCCTTGATGTCGTGTTTATTGATATTAAGTGAACTTAACCATTTCAGTGGTTTTGTTCTTGAAAAAAAAAAAAAAAAAAAAAATACTATGTTAATTATTGAAAAAATAAATCCAATTAGAATCTGAGGAAGATTTGTACTTTGTGCTGTAGTTGTTAGAACCAAAGACATAATACAAATTTAAAATAAGATAAAAAATTTATGTAAAGAAAATAAGGTATATAATTTTTGGTATGTTTAATATTAAAGATATTTGTCCATAAAATATTCCGTTTCTGTCTACATATATAATAAAAATAACTTGGTAAATAGTTAAAATTGTAAATTTAAAATTATGCTAATATTCTATATCACAGTTTTCTAACTATATATTTATTTTATTCTTGAAACTATTTGCTCATTTTACAATGATGTTATTGTTGTATGTTGATCTGTTTAATGTTCAAATCACAACGAAAGAAAAGATTTGTCAATGTTGTATTTCAGAAACTTCTAGCAGATATATTAAATCTATTTCCAAGCTGGAGTAAGGATGAGTAAATTTTACTTCACAGAAAAAGTGCTGTGGAAATGGGAATCAGTTACAAGAAAGCCATAATCCAAGATTATTTTTTTTTGTTTTTTTAAAATGCAGTTGTTCAATAAAACTGTAAAGGGGGGAAAAATGTAAACAATTCATAAATGCACAACAGTTTTGTTTTGTCTGTTACACTGATGCTAATGCCATAAATTCTTATTAAAAAAAAAAAAAGTTAAGGAAACCTGAAAACTGAATCATTTAACAAGAATGAAAGAAAAATGTCCTGTTTGAAGTCTTATATTTTGACTAACCAATACTTAAAAGTAACTGTCAGTAGTTCCCAACTAAGTCTCCTTAAAATAGTGCTGAATGCATTCCAATAATGGTCTCAATTTTAAGCATCAAGTCACACTCTCTCTCTACTTGTAAGGTTTATCAGGTTTCATATTTGTTGTTTTTTATTTATTTATTTGCCTGTAACAGAAACCAACAAATTATGTAAATATAGGTTACATCAGATTTAGATAATACTCTGCAGTTTGCTTGAAAATTAATTTAGAGAATTACTTGGTGGTGAAAAGAATGGGAACCACTGTTTTAGACCCAGAAAAAAATAAAAAATAAAAATAAAATAAAATATAACAAAACCATGCAAGACAATATGAAGACAGACATTAGACAAAAATATAGACAAGTACTAAACAAAGATAGCACAAAGGGTTGCAAATTACAATATCAAAATTCATTTGTATGTTGACCTTGATTTGAAATTCCAAACTAACTTCCAGACACACGCACGCACACAGGCAAAAGTGAAAGCCTGCTGATTAAAAGTACAACTTACATTCTTGTTTAATAGCTGCAATATTGATGGGTATAAAAGGACATCGAGCTGCATGTCTTGGTCGAAGAATGTCTTTACATAATCGTCTGGAGATTCTGGTTAGGCGGGTGGTGATGAGGCAGAAGGCAGCTCTAGTCTTCATCATTGGCCGCGGACTGCCAGCTCGGATAGCCAAACCATGCGCTGTGGCAAGGTGTCTAGCAAGGTGTGGTTTTAATTTGAATTCCTAAAAGAAAAATTACAAGTTTTTTTTTAGTTGTTAAGATATTCTAATTTTAAATGCTATCTATAGATAATTTTCTTAAAAAAAGTTTACATCTGCCATATTGTTTACTAAACTTTTGGTAACTGATGAAATGATTAGATTTTGTGTTAATTGTAAGGGTTGATTCTAAACTAATATTTTTAGTTTTTTTAATTTTTTTTTTTTTATTAAAATAAATTTACTAAAATTTATGAGTATAAATTTTTTTTTTTTAAAGTATTAGAATAGAAATACAGCTTGAAAATTTAAGATTCTTGGTTTCTTTTATAGATGAGGCTAGCAGGTTAATAAAAAAAAAAAAAATCAACTAAATGATAAACAATTTGATTGCAATAGAAATGCTATTTTAAATATGCTATTGTAATCCACACAACTTTTCATGCTTCAGAAACAGGCATAATTTTGTATAAGGTGCATAATAAAACTTTATGATAAAGAAAGTGAAAAATTAAATAAATGAGTGTTCATATTAATTCTATACTAAGCATTATTTTAATGGCAAATTTTGAAGACTGTAATCTTCATGTTTAAAACAAATTCCATGTTGCTTCTTTGAAAAATGCAAAACATGGCTACATAATCTGTAAAGGAATTTTAGGGGTTAATTATTCTGTAATTTTTTTTTTATATAATGATTAAGGTCAAAAGTGCAATTTAATTTAAACTTTAAGTTCTCCAATCATCTACTTTGTTATTTCCTTAATATGTAAAGGGAAGGTCTAAGAGGTGAAGGTAGGGAAGGATGAGACAAGGTTTTGTTGACTGGCTGCCCGCCTGCCCACTTACCTTCCCACAGCCAGCTATTGTACACCTGTGCATTCTCATGGCATTTAGATGGGCAAGTCGCTCTGGAAATATGGAATATAAGAAAGTATCAAATCACCTGCCAACAAAAAGATAAGTTTCATGATTTGCAAAAGGCATTGGAACCACACAGGCAAGTGGTGGGAAGTTGGTTTTAAAAGAATGGACAAACAGCAGGCACTGGGAAAAGCAACAAAATTCAACTTGAAACATGGCAACATTCTTGGAGCAAATGAACGTAAATAAACAGGATACAAAAATTGAGGAATAAGAAAGAACAAAGCCAACCTAAAATGAAAAGGAGAAATTAGGAAATTGCTAAACACTGACACTGATGCAAAAAAGGACAAAGAAGGGAGCCATTGTATTTGCCTGTCAACACAACCTAGGCTTTAAAGAAAGTTTTAAAACTCTTCAAAGAGGGAGGTAGGATCCTTAAGGTAACTAACAAGAATGAGAATTAGGAGTTGAAAGGAGATAATAGCAGAGTATAAGCTGAACATTAACCTAAGTAGCAAGAACTTGGAAAATATACTGATTGTCAATAATTGACAAGACATGCACTATGTTCAAGGCATCTGAATAAAGTTGTGTTCTTGAGAAAATTAAGCAATTTTTGGAAAGAATATGTTGTTCTAAATTATACACATTACATCACCACATTTCAAAAACATGTTTCATTTGTGGAATAAGTGACTAAAACAAACAGCGCCTACAAAGAATTTGTACCCCAAAGTAAAGAGAAATGTCCCCAAACTATGGTTTCATAAATTTCTTTTTAGCATCCTAAACCTAGTTAATTATGATAAAAGAGCTATTGCTTTCAAACTGATAAACTTTGAAGAAAAAAAATAAAAAATTCATGCACAAACTTTTAAAAGAAAAATTGTTATATTTAATAAAACTTATCTCAAGACTTAGAAAGAAAAATGTAGAATCAAGCAAACTGCAAAAATCAAGAGAAACTGAAGGTTATGAACCAAAAACACAATGAAAATCTTTTAAAAGATCCTTGATACTGAAGTAAACTATGTATTAAAAGAAAACAATGTAACTAAGATTTATATTAAAGCTACAACATTCTATGAAACGAAAGTTTGTAAAATTGAAAACATTCTAAATTAATAAATTTCTCTTAACAAAATTATAGTTTTGAGGAAGTCAGATCCCTTTTTAAAATATTCTGAAAATGTTATATAATTAAGAACAAAACACAAAGGTTTAATATTTTAACAGGCTAAAGATTTTCAAAAGGCAACAGGAATTTCATTTTTTTTTTTTTTTTTTTTTTAAATATGCTACACTTTAAGATATTTTTGTTTGTTTCCAGTCAACATTAATTTTGATGCACATCAAATTTGTTCACTTTGAAATTATAGTAGTCATATAACGTGTCTAAGACATTTATCTAAATATTCATTTTACAGTTCACCTTTTTTTAAACTCCAAGAAGAATGTCATGGTCAAGTGTGAAAAGTAAATGTTAATCAGTGAAATGATTTAAATGTTAAGTTCAGTATATTTACACATCGATAGAAACAGAAAATAAAAAATTTATTCTTTAAAAAACATTATCAATTTAAAAAAAATAAAAACTAGCTAAATGAAGAAATCCTGCTATGTCCAAAGTTTTAAGTTTATACATGATTATGCCAAGAATAATTACCAATTTATTTAAAAAAATAAAATGAAGTAATGAACTAATGCATTTATAAGCATGAATTGACAAAGTCTCATTTATTTTACATTCTTATAAAGAAAGTATTAGTTTTTTAGTTAATGACAAACAAAGCTTGATAGTTGTTAGTAGTCAGGTGATCTATTAAAATGTAAGGTGAGATGCTTAAAAGAGGAGGAAAGACTTGCTAAGCATGAAATCCCACCTCATTGCACTTAACCAAAAAATAAGGGGGAAAAAAAAAAAAAAATTCTTCACCTCTCATAGGATCTATCCTTTCAGCATCTGATTTTTCAATCTTGTGATCTGAGGTACACAATGCACAAAAAAGAAAGAAAAGAAAAAAAAAGGAAAAAAATTAAAAAATATAAATCCTAATTACACACAAGTTAACAGCTACACAAAAAAAAAAAAAAAAAATAAACAAATAAAAATTCTATATGAGAAATAGAGATGAGGGGAGAGGGAAATTTTGTGCATTGCTCATCCTGTGGTCAACTTGATCCTTTGTTGTGTCGGTTGTCAGACATTACGCTGTGCAAGAACATGCAAAATGTCATGCGTGTTTAACACAAATAATGAAAAATACAAAGGGAGGGGAGTTAAATTTGTCAACAAATCACATAAAGCAAACAGCTAAAAAATAATAATAAAAACATTTTTAGGTTGAGAGGAGAGAGAGAAAAGGCATTAACAAGATCTCCAAGATTCAACATGCAAGATATAGTCTAAAACAGGCAAGAATTAACCATGTGGGTTTGCAATGAGAATTCAACAATCATAAAGATGGTTAAGGAGAGAGGTCCTTATATTATCATAGTGATTTTGTGACATTTAAGAAACTAGATAATTTTTTTTTTTTTTTAATGTGTAATAATAGTAGTTTTTGATGATCAAACGTTAATGTACTGTAAAGAATCAATTTTATGATTTGACTTACATTTTTTTCTCTTCTAAATTCTAAGAAAATGAGCAAAAGAAAGGATCTCTACTATTTGCAGCTTAAAATCCAGAGCTGTTTATTTTAAATTTTCTAGTTATAACCATTGGAGATTAAAGACATTTAAAAAAAACCAAAAACCCATCAATTCTCTTTCACATATCAAATATTTGCTGGCTGAAAAATTACATTTTATCCTAAAGAATGGGTGGATAACTCATATTTATACCTCAAAATTCTGATTACACATACATATATACACATGCATATAGGCACACTTAGATTAATTTAGTTATAAGTGCACTTCACAGAAAATTCTGAGTCAATAGTTTAATTTTAGAAAACTGTAGAAAAGTCAATATTTCTTGCATATCAGATCAAACTGAAAATTAAAATAATTTTGTTAATCAGAGCCTGTCACTCTTTTTCATTATATGTGCAAAGATTAGACTGTCTTAAAAATATTTGCAACTGGCATGGAAAACTACTTAGTACTTTTGTTATTTTTTCAGTTTCAAAGAGTCTAACCATAACCATATGAAAAGATTTGCAATATGGCAACAATTAAACTAACATCAAAAAGAGAGAGTTGAAATCTGAGGCACATACTGAGGAAAGAGGGCTTTGAAAATTTGACACTCACAGCACATATTGAAGGCAAGAGGGACAGAGGAAAACAGCGCATAACATACCTAACGAGCTTGTGTGAATGGATGGCAGAACAGTGTTTAGGAGAGATTATAAAATGACAACATTTATTAAAAAGAGAGGAAATTGTAGATAGCCATGATTGCCAACATCCTGAATGGACATAACGCATAGAAGATTAATCCAATTTTGTTGTGTTTGTTATTAGATGGCATTAAGAACATTTGATCTTTAATTAATTTCATTAAAAACACTTATTATGATGGCTGCTATATCAGCATGCATTTTTATAAAAATGAAAAGTGTTAAAATTGATTATTTTTGTTTATGGATTCTGACACTGAAGAAGAAATTGAGAAACTGTTGGCATACACCATCTTTTTTTTTTTTAATTTTAAAGAAAAAAAAAAAAAAGAAAAAAAAAAAAGCTGTTTATGAAGAGCTGGTAGTATGAATCCTTGAACACACCCCTAGTTTTCCATGCTGATTTGCCCCAGTTCCATTATTGGGTAGACCAGTGCAATCACAATGTTACTCAAGAATAATCAACATTATAAAATAAAGGATACTCAAAGTACCCAAAACCAAACAGCGAAAAGCATTTGCACCAGCCATATTTAAGCATGGATGTGTGGCTTGCACATCAGTTGTTATAATAATAATAATAATAATAATAATAATAATAAAAAAAAAAAAAAAAAAAAAAAAAACCCTTACTGGATGGTTTCCATGCATGAGTTACAAATATAACAAAAAACGTTCCATTTTTTTAAAACAAATTGTGACAAGTGATAAAGGGGGGGGGTCCTTAAAATGATATGGAGTACAAGAATAGGACAACCGTCACTAACTATACCAAAGTGCTATATGCAATATGGGATTGGAAGGAGGTCTTCTATAAGCTTCTCCAGACACCCAATGATTGATTTAAATAAGTAATACTCTTAATTACATGAGTTGAAGGAACTTGTCAATGAATATCTAGAATAATTAATTAATACAAAGGGTATAATATGCCTTCAGAAATATGTTAAGACTAGGTTTTTTTTTTTTTTTTAGGTGATTAGGTAAAAATTGTTCCAGCTTAGAGGGGAAGTTGTGATTCATCTATCATATTCATCAAAATATTACATCTTTGGATTAGTATTTATTCTGGCCTTTACAGAGTTCTCTTAATAAAATAAATTTAAATTCTCTGGAAGGCTGCAAATGGCACCTAGATCAGTTATTTGCTGAGAAAGGTTAATGGCAGAAAACAGTGATAGTAAGTTCCTAAAAGTTAATGGAAAAAAGAAAAGGAAAACAACTGAATAAAGATTTTGACCACTCAATATACATATTTTTAACGATAAATCTTTAAATCTTCATTCTTAAACAGATGGAAAAAAGGCTTAGCACCACCAGTAACAGACATACTGATTATAGATGGATGTGAAATATCCAAACTATATAAAGATGGAATATGCGAAAACCAGTTGGATGTTCAAAATTGTTTATTTTTGTGCTGACATTTCACTAATTTTAAATGAGCATTTTCAAAGCATAACTGCAAAAAACAGATGGTAAATCAAGAAAAATAATTGAGTACTTTAAATTCTAAATTTATAAATGAAAAATATTTCACAAGACTTCTGGAATGTAGATCAATATATATTATGTATGTTAAAATTCACCATTAAAGCTATTAAAACTTAGCAATATTAATTTGCTAATTTTTATACATATTGATTTTCCTATGATTATCTCACAAAGTTTTTAAAAAAATGTTTAAACCTAATTTACTATTTTATATTTTTAAAGTGACATTTTAAAAAATCTAATGTTAATGCAATATATTGTTGATATAGCATCAAATAATTTTTCTCAAAAATATTCAAGTAGCATATACAGTGCAGAAGAGAGCAGTTTTATTGTCAAAGTACAAAAATAATGTAAAAAGGAAAAGGTGGGGAGTCCAATTTTATGTATGAAGAGAGGGAAAGAGAGAAAAAAAGACAATGCATAGTGTTAATGGTTCCTGGAAAAAAGAGAGAGTGCAAACATGATGGTGAAATAACATTTAAAATGCAGTAGCAGTTTTCTTTTTCCTGCTCCATTTCAAATTTTTAATGAAAGCATTTTGGCCCCCCAAAAGCCTATTCAAACATGCAAGATTTACAGATAATAAAATAGAACAAGACAATAGAACTGAAGAAATACTTTCAAATTTACAATGAACTTGTATTTTCAGTAAATAAACTATTTTCAGCACTATTAATGGTATGAAATACAACAGTTTAGAACAATGCAAAAGGCCAGAGTAAAGAAATATATCTTAAATCTCCCAAAACCTGTAAAGTAATTCTATTTAAGTTTACTTGTATTAGTCATTTTTATAAAATAAAAGTAACTGAAAAATTGGAAGAAAAAAAAAACAACAAATTTCTTAATTCCAGGTTACATCAACCATAATTTCAGATTCCGATTAATTTTGGCAATTTAAAACCTCTAAGGAGGCAATAATATTTTCATTAGGTAAAAGAGCCTGATGAAAGATACAAAAAGATAATTGTTACATGGCAGTGATAAGACTACATTTAGTTGGAATATGATTTTCTCAGAAGGCAATGGCATGTCTTTATTTTATTTATCTATTTTTTTTTGCAAATGTTCATTAAAAATAAAAAACGTTGCCAGTGGATTTATCAAAAAATGTAAATCATTCTAAGTGTACCAACAAAACAGAAGGCATTTATAAAAATGTACTTTTTCTTTTCTTTTCAATGGGGAACATTGAGTAATACATCAAAATAGTAAGCCTAGAAATGGGGCGATGGAGAGAAAACAGATGAAGTGATAGTAGCAGTTTGGGTGAAGCAAATAAAATGTACTACTTACCTAGTCGGGTTGGCATTTTGAGTCCACCATACTTCTTCCAGTAGATCCAACAGGAAGAACACAGACGGCACTGCATGTGTGCCGGTCCCCACGAGTACCACTGACTGGAATTAGCAGCATAGCAACTTTCACAAGCTCGCCCTGACACCTGACCATCTACACCATTTACTTTCCCACTGATTGCTGCAGGATTAGGTTTGTTGCTAAAATAAAATAATTTAATCCCTTCACATAAAAGGAAACAAGAACATTGATATAAAGCATCCAATTCTTATCTTTTATATTACTTGGTACCAGTTAAGAGTGAGTGAGAGAATCCTTACAAACAATGAAAGTTTTGATTTGAAACTATATGCTTAAAGAAAAAGAAAGAAAAAGAAAAAAAAAAAAAACAAAAAACAAACACAATATCTGTAAATACTAGTCTTCTGGAATTCAAGAGTCAATATTGCAATACTAAACAAAGTTTATACTTTGTCTATGAAATTTAATTTTTAAACTAATCAAATTATAATATCAAGCCTAAAGTAATTAAAAGCGAGCCATTTAACTTTTTCCAGTCAATAGTAAAATATCTACAAAAAATAAAATTCTGTCAATTAGAATAGTCCAAATCAGTTAACAAGTGCATGCTTAGCATAAAGATTAGGTTTGGAAGAATTGCATGTAATCCAATATAAGTGATTCCTTAAAGTTACTTTTTACTTACTAGTTAGGAATGTACACCTGCTTTAATTTACTCTCTGCTTCAGCAGCTTTTATCCTTTTCTGTAAAAGAAGAAAAAAAAAAATCCATCATTTTAGTCAGATTGAATTAAAATCTTTTGCAAACATTTACATTTTTATATATGAAGATATACTACATAAATAAGCTAATGCTTTTATTGGTATTGACACTAAAACTGAAACCCTGTATTGCTAAGATAATTTAAAATAATTTGCATTATCTATCACAGTAACCAAGTTATCAAATATCACATTGTAAGTTTAACAATATGCTATATTCCAGTATTGTGAATATATAGTTTTGAACTAGTTCAAATGAACTATGCATTTCAGATAGAGCAAAGAAAAATGTTGACCATGTCTTTAATTTTCAAAAAGATTCTAATCATTTTAGCAACACCGTCTACAAGCCTAAAAAAAAAACACTGTAACAGCCTAATATACTGTAAATGGATCAATGTTACCCATAAAATTTTAAAAATAATTCCATCATACTATTTAAGGTTAAATCTGTTAAAAACAAACAAAAAATTTTAACCAACTTTTGAATTGATTAAAATATTAACACTATTATATTAATTACTGTGTGTGACAAGTCATATCTAACAGTGATTAAGACTTTTACAATGATTAAATGAGAAATAAAATTCAAGAAAAATTAATTCCTGATTGATTTCAGTGGTAAATCTACACTTCAAGGAAAAAACAAATCAATTGAAGTGTGGATTTACTGCTGCAGAACACCAAGTCAGGAGATAAGTCATATATATATATATATATATATATATATATATATATATATATATATATATATATATATGTATGTATATGTATATATGTATGTATGTGTATGTATGTATGTATGTATGTTATTTTTCCATTATATTTTCTCAATTTTTGAATAAGGTGTTGAGTATTTTGTTTGAAGTTGTGAATAAACAGTTCAAAGTTCATATTTTCTTACTGTTTGTTGAAATATTTTCAGCCTTCAGTTATTATCAAGAAATTATATGGTGTCTGTGTGGTAGGTAGAATTTCTTTGTTTACATGCTGATATTCTTTGGGAAGTTTGAAATACTAGCATGGCATGTGTAATAGCCATTGAGAACAAGGCCACACAAAAGAATACCAGGATGTAGACAAAGGAATTCTAACACAGAGACACCACATTGGTTTTTGATAATGCCTATGGTGGCCAAAAGTAAACAATAATATGGGCTTCATACAGTTCATCTGCAATTTCAAGCACAATACTGAACATTTTTTTCAAAAATTGGAAAAATATAATGAAATTAAAGAGAGACCTTGTCAGTTCTTTTTTTAAATGGAATCTGTTTAGGCAAATACTTGTTACATATATAACAAATATAAAAACAACTTAGTATTGAGAAGATAAAATGCTACCTAAAAGTTCAAGGAACTTCCTTTAGCAATCTTGTTCATCTACCAAATTGCCTAGTGTTCCCTGTGACTAGCCAGCCATTTCACACTAATTGTTTTATGAATTTTTTCTTCTTTCTTTGAAAGCCATTTCAATTTTGTGTGGCACATTGGAGATTATATGACTGCCAAGTAGACAAGCTTTTTCTTCACTACTTAATATATTCCATTAGTTTCTCTAGTATAACAACAGAATTTCAATTGATTATATGAAATTAATTCTGAAGTACTTTAACAGGTTAAGAAATTTTAATGTTGAATGAAACTAATTACTAAATCTGGAAAAGTAGCAAGTAAAAATTAAAAACTTGTTCAAATCTTCACTTTGAACAATGAAAGAAGTTCAGATGATGGACAAGGCCCCAACAAAATAGATTTCTTCTACAGGCTCCAAATGTAATGAAAACAAAGTTTCATCATCAAAATCATTATGTTATTATTAAGAGGAAGGATCAAGGTATTTTTTGATTATTTAAATTTTTTTTTTTTTTTTTTTTTACTCCTTTTTAGAACATTCAAAATTTTGATTAAAAAAACTTGTTTTATTGCATCAGTGGTAATTTGTGCCTCCTTTTTGCAGTAACAGACACAAATTCAAAAATTCTTGAAAAAAAAATCAAATAATTGTCACATTTTAATAAAATTTAAGATTTATTCACAAATGAAATTATTTTTGAATTTTTTTTTTTTATTAAAAAATCTTTGTAAAAGTATTTATTTATTTTTTTCATTTTTACAGGTTTCTCCTCTTCAATTTTATGAAAGCTTGAGAAATTTATTGAAATAATTTTTAGTGACTATATTAGTTAAAAGCAGAATTTTTCAAAGAATTTAAATCATTGATTTTTTTTGTTTTTGCAACATCGGACCTGTCTTACTGATTAAAAAAAATAAAACGCAATAAAACTGACATTTTTTAATTAGAGAAGCTTTTATGAATATTATATATTGAAGACAATATTGTCTGAGGAAAAATTAATTTTTACAAGATTTACAATTTAAAATTTCAGTTTCAATGAGACAATTTTTAGGGGATATTGTCAAGTAAAATTATATTAACTAATCATATATTTTACAGGTTATTACAATCTGAAGAACCTGACTATTTTAAAATCTGCAGTCCATAAATTGATTAATACACCAGAAAAACAAGAGCCCGTGGTTAGGAAATGCTTGTATACAACATTTTATGCTATAAGTAGTATTTGTTTCAAATCAGATTAACTTTAAATTTTCCTCAAATGTTTCAGAACTATACATTTTATTTTTGCAAGATTTTTAAGTTTTGTTTAAAAAATGGCTGATGTTATTGATTTTACTGGCGGTGGTGGTGAAAGTCTATTATATTATCGATATAATTTCTGTCTGAAATAGACCAAAGTATTTTGCTTACCAGGTAAAGTAAAGATAATACTTTAGCTTTCATCTAAAGCTAAATTGAAAGCTTCAGGAAAGCTTTGTCATTTTTAAAAATTCATTTTCGACCTTATGTATACCAAATTCATGGAGGTAACTATTTAAATATGACATTCATTTCTTTGGGAAATTTCATTTTTGAGAAAGTTTTAGAGTGGAATGTTAAAGTGTGAATTCAATTTATAATATAACATCAAAGTGAATGATGGAATTCAATTGGAATAAAGACAGCCATAAAAATAAAAACTAAAAGAATTAAAAAAAAAGTAGCACAGGATACACTGTCAGCCATTTGCCTAAACAGACAAAGTCAGGATTCAGTTTTACATTCAATTCACAAGTTAAACTTCATAAAAATGCCCCTTATTTCAGTTAACTGAACTGTAATCTAAATTTATAAGCTTTGTATAATTTTTTCCCCCCCACCTCAATAAGTTGAAAGTCTAGGAGGATTAAAAGGAAGAACACATCAGCATACAGATAATGCAATTAATATGGTCAAGGCTTTTGGAGATTTCCAAGAACTCTGGTTTGAGCAATTTCAACCTGAACAACTGAAAAGTTCTGAAAATTCAAAGTTGACAATGCAATCAAAGTCATCTAATCTAAAGCTTCCATCAGAGCTCAAAGAAAAACCTGAAAGAAAATCTAGTTGCCTCAACATGCCATACAAACTGATGTAGGATGTGGTGATTCAGTGGGGATAAATATATGTTGTGTTTCCTTGGTAAAAAACAAACACTGGCTGGAGAATCTGATGCTCAAGGACGCCAACATTAGTGTCAAAGAGCATGTGTGTCAATTCCTTAAACCTGTGAACAAGTTGCCCCAGTGACAATGTCAGCTTGTTCTAAACCATTATGACATAATGGTGAAATAAAGACAAGGAGCCATCCCTTATAAAAGCAAAAAGTATCATGCACATAACTTTCTTCAGACCCTTGCTTCCAAAAGAGTCTGAGGCTACTGCAACAGCTGCTTTCAAAGAGTCCTTGACATTAGCAAATTTACCATCAATATAGAATTAAAGGAGAAAGACATGGCTGAGTTGTGAAGAAAGATTACCTCACAAAGGCAGCTGATACTTTATATGTGTGTATGATGCAACAGCATGAAAAATTCATATTACAGTTAATAGCATTGCAATGTTTGCAATATGGTACCAGTAATCTCTTAAAAAGCAGATAAACATGCTAAAAATTTCAACAAATAAATTAGTAGAACTATAAAACATTAAAAATACAATTACTTGTGATAATAATACTTCTTTGCTGTCTGACCAGGTAGAGCATATTCATGATGAACAATGCCCTTGTAGTCAAAGAAAACTATGAACAGGCTCTTCAAATTGCTTTGACTCATTCATGCTTTCTTCAGTCTTGGAGAGGTTGGGGTCTTCCACTATGAAAACTGAGCCTTGGTTTTGGGGGTCATAGACACACGATTCATCTATTATGATAGTTTTCAAAAAGTTTTTGTCTTTGATACAAGGAGATCCTGTATAGCCAAAATGTTTTTTTTCTTTTTGGTCAACTAAAAGCAGTTTTGGCACAAACTTGACAGACACACGTCTCATACCCTATGCTTTAGTGAGAATGGACTGAACTTAATCATAACTAATGTTTATGTTCTCTGACAACTGATGAACGGTAACTCAATGTTCTTTCTGAACATCTGGTTGCAGGTCTCCCAGAATATGCATCACTGCTGACCATCTTGGAAACATTTGAATCACTCGTGTCTGGTTCATACACTCCTTTCCAACTTTACATAAGTCTTTGCACAGATATCACCAAACTTTTGGAAAGCTTTGATGCAGATTCTCTGCTCAATTTTCTGTACTCGACATACTTTAGCTCCATTACTATAGCAACAGTCCCAATACTTTTTGATCAGAACACGTTTTTGTGTGTATAGATGGGTGTAATGTTACTGTCATTGTAGGAGACCAACAGATGAATGCAGAGTGGTTTATTGAGTCGGAACAAAATTTGTAGTATTTTTCAATTGGTAGCATTTGTATATGTAATTTTGTTTGTTTGATATGTGACTAAACTCTCACACACTGAGGGATGACATTTCAACATCTTTCTATGTGTGGTTTAAAAACTTTAAATGTCTTTACATTAAAGGTGAAAATGGAAGAAAATAAAATACATCCTCATCATTTAATGTTTTTTTTTTTA